CAGTGCACATCTGAAGAGTCTGTTTCTGATGTGAGAAACTCCTTGTATGTCCCTCAAAGTCTCGTACACTAGTGAGTGAACAGTGTGTTCTGTTCTGTCCAAATGAACTGATGAGGAAAAACAAGCAATTATAGACTGAAGCTGTTTCTGATGATGGACGGTCAGACATCAAGTGCTTGATCTGAGCAATCATGTAGATCACACACACACACACACACACACAAACAAACACACACACACACACACACAAACAAACACACACGCGTACACACACACACTCACACACACACGCGCACACGCACACGCACACAGGTTTGTTTTTGTGAAAAGTGGGGACATCCCATAGGCGTAATGGTTTTTATACTGTACAGACCGTATATTCTATTGCCCTACACCAACCCTACCCCTAAACCTACCCCTCACAGGAAACTTTGTGCTATTTCAGATTTTCAATACACTCCATTCTGTGTGATTTATATGCGTTTTGAAAAGTGGGGACATGGGATAATGTCCTGAAAAGTCACCTTCTCCTTCTTATACCTATGTCATACCCTTGTCATTATACAAATGTATGTCCTCATTTGTCACAAAAACGAGCACATGTATACACACACATACATTGTGTGTGTGTGTGTATATATATATACACACACACACGCACCCACAAACACACACACACAAACAAACACACACACACACACGCACCCACAAACATACACACACAAACAAACACACACACACACACACACAAACAAACACACACACACACACAGAAAGAAAACACTTGTGTGAGACACATCTGACATGATTTACAGAAACAGATGATACTGTTCTTTACTGAAGCTCAACAAATGAAATGAACTGAACACACAACACTGAATCCCTTCACTTGCTCAAAGGATTCACTCTAAGTGTCTCATTTATAGCTCATTAGAGATTCATTAACAGATTTAGATACAGCATCTGTCATTAATATGATTCCCATGATTGATGTCTGTTTATAATCGATGATACAGCATTTACATTTGATGAATCACTAAAAGCTTTTCTTCAGCTGCTCAGATGTTTCCTGAAGTCTTGACTTGGTCTCAGATGTTTCTTTCAGGAGAAATAAAACAGCCACAAATGAGGCACCAGTTGTTTTAAATTCTAGATCCGCTCAGATCAACAATTACTGGGGTCTTTTTCTCAGAAGTAAAAAAGCTGTTTAGCACAAAGGAAAGAATGAAGCTCTGAAATAAAGTGAATCATTCACAGAATGGTTTAATGTCGACAGCCGCTGGTTTGTCTCACTGAAGGTGGTTTCCTGGATTCCAGATACTTGTGAAAATGTGTTTTAATGATAGTAATATTTCAGCCGCACAAACAATCATCTGTTCAACATCAGTGAGATCCGGTTCCTGAGCGGCACTGGAGAGAATCAAACACAGATGAACGAATCTTCACACCGGCACAAACTCCTGAGATGCTAACATCATGCTGCTTTGATATGCCATGATACTAAATGATGAACAGATTGATATCCGATGATAATCATATGGCTGTCAAAGGGTTTTCAGTGATCTTGCAGAGAAACTGATGCTCATTCTGAGTTCAGTGATTAAACCGTTTGCACACAAACTCACCTAACTGACTCGACCTAACTAACCCATGACATTCTGTCTAATCAGCCCTGCAGTCGTTACTGCAGTTAAAATAATTATGCGCTAATTACTTTACCTTCAATCTGTATTTGATGGCAGTGACATCTGAACCACATTATGAGCATCTGCAGAGATAAAATGGCAACTAACACATTCACCCACAACACACACCACAGACAAAACAACAATAGACAGACAGACAGACAGACAGACAGACAGAGAAAGACAGAGACAGACGGATGGACAGACAGAGACAGACAGACAGAGAAAGACAGAGACAGACGGATGGACAGACAGACAGAGACAGACAGACAGACAGAGAAAGACAGAGACAGACAGAGAAAAACAGAGACAGACGGATGGACAGACAGAGACAGACAGAGACAGACGGATGGACAGAGACAGAAAGACAGAGACAGACAGACAGAGAAAGACAGAGACAGACGGATGGACAGACAGAGACAAACAGACAGAGACGGACGGACTGACGGACAGACAGACGGACAGACAGAGAAAGACAGAGACAAACAGACAGACAGAGACGGACGGACAGACAGACAGACAGACAGAGAGAGACAGACGGACAGACAGACAGACAGACGGACAGACAGAAAAAGACAGAGACAAACAGACAGACAGAGACGGACGGACAGACAGACAGACAGAGAGAGACAGACGGACAGACAGAGAAAGACAGACAGAGACGGACGGACAGACAGACAGACAGACAGACGGATGGACAGAGAGACAGACAGAGAAAGATGGACAGACAGACAAACAGACAGACAGAGATAGAAGGATGGACAGACAGAGACAGACAGACAGAGACAGATGGACGGACAGACAAACAGAGACAGACGGACGGACAGACAGAGACAGACGGACAGACAGACAGAGACAGAGAAAGACAGACAGAGAAAGACAGAGAAAGACAGACAGACAGAGACGTACAGAGAAAGACAGAGACAGACAGACAGACAGACAGACAGACAGACGGACGGACAGACAGACAGAGACAGACGGACGGACGGATGGACAGACTTAGACAGACAGACAGAGAAAGACAGAGACAGATGGACGGACAGACAGACAGACAGAAACAGACAGACAGAGAAAGACAGAGACAGACAGACAGACGGACAGCGCCGGACACAGACAGCTGGAGTGAAATAAGGATGTTCTCTGTTATCGGTTCAGTTCCTCATGAAAAGCCGCTGATGGCTGAAAGGAGCAGAACCGAAAAGCTCAAACGGATTTAAACCTGCAGAAAGACACACCGGACACTCGCTCAAAGGGACTTTCAACCGTTTAATCAAGTGGACAATCAAACCAATCATGTGCTTCAGAGCGCCTCTTCAGACGCCAGAGAAACACTTCACCTGTCTGAAAGAAATCCAGCAGATACACAGACGGCAGGAGGACGCGTCAACTGCTTAACTATGATCTAACCCTGAGAGTTTCAGCGTTAAGTGAGAGGCTAATGAAGGTGCAGAGCTGCAAAGGTCAGAGGTCAGCCGTCTGCGGTTCCTGGCCTAAATGAAGCATCAGGATCAGGTATGATGGTTAATCTGTATAAACCAACCCTTCCCTTGAGCTCCAATCATCAAATCTGAAATATTCAGACAATTACAGATGTTCAGGTGTGTCCGCTTCCGTCTGGATCTGCAGAACAGATATGAATCATTCCAGAATACTGTAAAAGAAGATCCACTGTGAGATACAGACGCTCTGCTGCATCGAGGTTCATTTCGCACTTTGAGCGACAGATGATGATTTTCTGCAGTTAGCTGGAGAACAGGAAAATTAAGTTTCCACATCTTGAATATAAAGCGATTTCTCACGCTGTCGGCCACGTCTGGACTTTGCATTCAGATAAAACGCCTTCATTATGTTTTTTTGAAGCCTCACAGCGCAGGTGAGAATCTCTCAATATTCAGCTCGACTCAAACTGAACATAAACGCGTGATTCACAGCCACAGTCTTCACAGGACATTCAAAACAAATCCAGCAGGAGCTTTTCTCCCCCAGAACATCCAGCGAGCTGATTGTGTTTGGAAATGGCTTTAACAAAAGTCTCTTTGGAATCAGATGGGCTCTTTGTTTGGACTCACTCCCAGTTCAGAATATAAACAGAGTTTTTCATATTTATTCACAGTCGCAAAAGAAAACGAGGCCTGCTTTGAAAGCCAACATTTTAAAGGGCTCATATCATGGAAACCAGAATTTCTCCTGCACTTTTGAAATACTCTGAGCGCCGCAATCATGTGGACATCTTGTGGTGTTCGATTGGTACCTTTTTCTTCTGTAGATTTCACAGCCAGCAGCTCCTGCAACGCTGAACTGAGTGACAACCTGTGTAATAAAAGAAAGATTTACATGCAACCTTAACCCTTATAATGCATTCGGCTCTGTTTTGACCCAGAAGAGACACATAAAGACTAAAAAATGCATAGTAAGGGAACAAAACTTAAATGCTTTAAGACCCTCAAAATGCACATCATTTATTGGTAAAATTATTAGTGTCAAAAACTTTTCCCCATATCTCTCACACTTTTAGGACTGAATTTTGTTGATGAACATGAATATGTTTCCTATTGATGAACCATTGCAGCACTAAAAATTATCTGTTTTATTTATGCTGTTTTATTAGAAATAAATATGTAGGTTTAATAAATTTGGACAGTTTGTAATTTAATTAAATTCCATTCACTCCAATGGGATTAATACTGATAATTCTCAGATTTTTTTTTGTGTGTGTGTGTGTATATTTCATACAATGATACAGTATATTCAAATAATATTCCTCAACAATATTGGAAAAAATATTTTGCATTATATTTTTTTGGTGTGGTTCATTTGTAACTTGAAATTTTAAACAATTTCTAAATTTTTTATTTAATAAAAAAAGAGGTAAATGCAGTAATAACACGGAGTAATAATTTTTCATTAATGAGACGTTGCTGATCAGATGCATTATATGGTTGCAAAATATTAAATTTATTATATTAAGTTTTATAGAATAACGATTCTTTGTATCCAAATGGACCCGGAATGCAAAAATAGCATAGAGATTTTGAATGCATTCTGAGGGTTAATTCTGCTTGTGTGTCATGAACTAGGCCGAGACACTTGAAATCACCTGACAAACATGAGTTAACTAGCAGAAGTTGGTCAAACTGAGCTTTTTACCTTCATGTTTTGGCCAAAGATGAATCTTCGTTGCACACTTTTCCAACCCAATGAGCAAATCGTAAAAAGTTTATGAACATAAGCCATTATTTCCATGCGCTTTCATTCAGACAGCATCACATTCAGCTGCGTCTGCAGGAGCAAATCATCTGAAGAATGATGTTTCTGTGATCGTAAGCACATCCTCACCTACAAGCATCAATAAATAATCGCTTTATTTTTCAAAATCATGCAAGTCTTTGAGTTCCCTTTTACAGATCACACACAGTTATATGCGCACAACTCTACACAGTACACTGAAATCTGACAGGTTATTTTCCGATGAGGTTTTTTTTTTGTTATCAAAATTCTTTACATGAGTAAAATTTCTCTCACATAGTTGCGGCTGGTTTTTTTTAGCCCATTCGTTGTTATTGCAATGATTCACATTGTTTTGTATAGAACAAATAAGAAAAGCATCTGGTCTTCGTCATGGCTATGAAAGAAAGTGCAGTGGTTTCCTGAAGGATGGGAAATGTCTCGATTCCGCAGGCCTTTTGTGAGTCTGTGCGTGACGTGTTTCTACAGTTATTAAGCGTGAGTTAAGCTCCTGCAGGGAAACGCTGATGTTCAGCCCTCCGTCGCCGTAGGGTGTAGTGTATAGGGCGTAGCGTATAGGGTGTAGTGTGTAGGATGTAGTGTGTAGTGTATAGGGCGTAGCGTGTAGTGTGTAGGATGTAGTGTGTAGGGCATAGCGTGTAGGGTGTAGTGTGTAGGATGTAGTGTGTAGTGTTTAGGGCGT